CCAAACAATTGAGAGCAAAACTAGAATTCTGAGCAGAACATTCCCAATTGGAATGCAATAGACATCCCAATCTTAAATTTGAGACCTAGACACTCAAAATATAGAGTTTGCATACAAGCTAATCAATAAATATGTGAAATCGTGGCATAGTGAATTCAAAAGCTTACAAGTGGAATCGGGAGAGAAATGGATAGTCTCTCGTCGACAAACACATTCCGGACATTGACGAAGCGGCGAGCGAGCAGTTTAATAAACACATCGGGGCAGCCAGAGGCACCAATTCGTAAAGTGAGACGACTGAGACGCTCGAGACGGAGCCAACGCTTGCAGACAAGTGCACAAGCGTCACGGCTTGATTTTGATTCCAGATGCCGGAAAATATCGAGAATAAGCTCATCCGGCAGGATTTGATTGATCCAATCACGCCCTCTCATTGAATTTACCTACTTCTTCTGGATCTATATGACCTTATAAATACACAAATTCGCAGCTGAATCTCGATTTCAAATACGTCAAACAGAGGAAATGAGAGATTCGATGAGTGAAGATATGGATGTGGTATCAGGTGAGTCGGGTCGGTAGAATTTGCCCGTCAGTTGTTGACAAGGAGCGATCGATCAATCAGCGAAGAGACATTTCCCATTTTAGCCATGAGAAATTTATAACTTATTGCAATATATAGGGGTATCTTTGTAATTTATGATATGGTGGCATTATCAGATGAGATCGGAGATCAACCATAAAAAAAGTACCGAAATGTGCATGTTAAGGTATTTTGTATTACCGTGCAGTGTTTTCACAAACGTTTTGCTGGGTTGGGCATATCAAAAGTGCTCCTAAAATGTAGATCGATTGCACGTAAATTTTAGACTTTGGGGAGTATAGAAGATTCAAGTATAAAAACTTAAGTTTTTTAGGCATAAAAACATAGCGTTTTTAATGAAAAAATTGAATCTTTTTTTACTTTAAATTATATTCATTATTATTGTTTTAATGATATTTCTCAAATAATAGTTGTAATACATTCAAGTTGTTAATTATTGTTTTAAATTTTTTTCATATATTCATCTTTTTATTTCACTTTATTCTTGAGTATCTGAGTTGAACGTGTTGAGTTGAGTACCTTTGAGTAGAGTAGAGTATCTTTGAGTTGAGTATCTTATTCTTGAATTGAGTTTAGTTGAGTGAGCGGAGAGAAGGTAAGTATGTTTCCTTTTTATCAAGTTCAAATTTATGTTTATGCTTTAGAATTTCCCTTACATGCTCGTACATTTCACGTATTGAGTCATTTGACATGTATCGTTTCTTGATGCAAATACAGATATTCAGGGTCATCAACACGAGTTTCGTTGATACCACATTGAGTTCGAGTTAGCTAAAATGGCATACATGAAGCTATAGCAGGGAGAGCAGGACAATATCCCCTATCCTGTTTTGTTTTTAATTTTTGCATTGTTTCAAATAATTAATTTCGGAGAGATCTACACTAAAAAATCAAAGATAAGCTTAATACACAAACCTAACATGCATTTATGATAATAGAGTTAAAAATTATCTTTTTGATGTGCAAACTTAAAAAGGGAAACAAAAAAGAAAACTATATAGAGAGAAATAAATATATATAACATGAAAAATTTATTATAGTGAAAAAATATCATGTCAATATAATAAAATTTTGATATATGAATGATCGTTCTAACAGAATTTGATTGTAGTACAAATTGTTTTAGTTCCATTTATGAATTAAAATAGTCTACTCTTTTTTTGAAATATAATTATGACTTTATTGTTGATGATTGATGCACAGATCGAATTTCACTAAATTAACTATCTTCGACTTTAATTAAATTTTAAAAAAATGAGAAAAACAAAATTTTGTTGATCTTTTACACTATAATTTTTTTTGAGGGGTGGGGGTGGGGGTGGAAAGTGGGGTAGGGGAATATATTTAAAATAACAATGGTGAAAAGCGTTCGTGACGTGTCATATAATTTCATGGCCAAAAGTTGGTATATTTGCTCACTAATAACATATGCAATTATTATATTGAAACAAGCTGATTGATTTAGATAATTTAAATTAACACAAAATATTTGATGAAAAAAACACGATAGACTCCAATCGAAATATAATTTTAAACAATCACCATGACTGACCAACAATTTAATAAAACAAAATAACAGACTCGCACTTTTTGATATTCTTCTATCAGACAAATCTACGAAATATATAACTAAACTAAAAGAAAAAAATTTCAAACTTAGCACATTTTTAGACCCTCCCCCACACCCGCAATGAAGATCCACATAAATTTTGCACTAGTTAAAATCTGAAGTTTAAATCCAAATAATTTTAAAGAAAAAAGAGTCAAAAAAACCTCCTAACTTTAATGCTCCTATATTGTATGCTCCTTGTGGTATTTGATCTACTTTTAAGATGGCCAATTTAATGAATGTTATATTTATCTTTGCACTTATTTTCCAAATCTTAACAACGGAAGATGATTTTACTTAAATTTGAGTCCTCGAAATGGAAAATAAGTCAAAAGCAGAGATTAGTAATACCTGGCTAGTTTCTCCTCCCTTGCTGATATACATAATTTAGAGACCATGTTTGTTAAATGGGTAAAGGAGATGTTGAGAATGGGGACGGCTTATTTTAAATGGGTTAGATTATTGGGTTAAAATAAGGAATAAGATTTTTTAAAAAATAATTTGGATTAATCGGTTAAATGGAGGGTAAATTTAGTGAAATTGGTAATGAAATGAGTAAAATTAACTCCATTTTAACAACGAGGATAAATTTAAACAATAAATTAAAGTTGGGGGATATTTTTGACCCTTTTCCCTTTAAATTATATAATCAAACAGAGGGGTGTCTTTAAGTCTGTCAATAGTTGCAAGACTGAAGTGATAATTCACGTCAAGTTTAGGGGTGATTTCAATACTTATCATGTCAAGTAAATTACAAAGTTGGTGTTGGATATCATATAAATAAGTGAAAACACTTTTAAGCGATATTTAAAATTTTAAGTCTATCTATTTAAAATATGTAAGTCATATATATCATTTTGCCTAAATTTTAGGTAATTTTGCCTGAAGTTCATTCACCATTTTTTGGCTTTCAGGTATCACATGTCTAAAGTTATCACGAAGTACATCAACGTGAAAAAAAATAAAAATTGAGTACAAATTTAAGTAATAATGTTCAAAAAAATTAAAATTTTATGGTATTTAAAGCTTAGTGAACCAACTAATTAGTAGTCGCAACAGGTAGGTCTACTAAGACAGTAGAAAATTACCTACTAAAAAGTTTGCATTTTCTACAATATTTTTATCGAACCCATCAAGCTAAAATGAATCGACAAACCAACTATAATCGAAGAAAAAAATCCTCTTATGATATGATTTAATTGATTTGCGTTGAAAAAATAATTCGATCATTCTTAAAGTAATTTATAGTTTTCAATGTTTAGAAATATTATTCTATAATTTTGGCTTGTAAAAATTTTATGTTGTATTTAGATCAGAAAATATAATTTCATTGTTATAATATTTTGTTTTGTATTCATTTTGATCGTAACCTTTAATCTTATAAATTTAACATATTGAATGTGGATTTTTCAATGAAAGTATTTTGCACTTATATGAACTTCTTATTCTTTTTGAAAATTCTTATTCAAAACATTTTAAGTTCTCGCATGTCATATAGATAAGTGAAAATATATTTGACATTATTTTCAATTACACTATAATTGTTTAAAAAAATCAGAAGAACCAAATAAAATCAAAACTGAAAAAATGACTTTATGTTGATTTGATTTATAGATTTAATAAAGGATAACTTTCACATATAGCAAACAAAAAATTCATATTTGTATAATATAGCAAACTTTGCATAATTGCGCTCCATAGCAAACATAAAACTGTATAATTTGCTATACATATACAATTGTATAATTCGCTGGCCTAAATTGTATAATTCGCTGACCTATTTCGTTTGCAATTGTATAATTTGTTTTGCATACAGTTGAATCGAATTAAAATGTATGTATATTGCATAATTATAAGCGTATAGCAAGAAGATATATGTTTTTCTCGCTTTATACAAAAACAGAAACACAATATATACACTTCTGTTGTATAAAGCTAGAGAAAATTGTATTTCACTGCAATTGTATAATTCGCAATTGTATAATTCGTTGGCCTTTTTCTCTGCAATATTTGAAGTAAAATATTTGTAAATTAATATAATTAAGTGTATAACACGAAGATATACATTTTTGCATGTGTATATACAATTTTCTCTCGCTTTATACAAAACAGAAACAGAATTATACACTTCTGTGTATAAAGCGAGAGAGGCGAGCAAGAATGGAGAGTGGCGAGCGAGATTTTTGGGAGAGAGATGCTGACAAATTTTAGCTAATGTTTGCTATGGAGCACAATTAAATCAAACCCTAGCTATTCCATTTAATTTAGGTTATTAGTTTGCTATTATATACAATTTTCCCTTTAATAAATTTAATTTATTTCCTAGCAATGGATATAAAAAATTAGGGTAAGATGATCGGTCATGTTTCTATCGTTCCAAAGTAGTAATATTATTATTTTATTATCTTATTTTTGAATTTATATTGTTACATATTGTTTCTTTAGCATCGTTATCTTATTATCTTGTTATTTCTTCTTCTTTTTATTTTTTATTTTATTTTCTCTGTCTCAAAGACTTATAGGAATTAATCTCAACCATTTCAATATAAGAATAAAATTTGTTTACACTCTAATTTACTCGTGCGATTACCATGAATTTATTATTATTGAGATCTATGGAATAATAGATTTTGTAGTCTTTTAAATTTTTTTTGGAAATAAGCAATAAAGTACCATCTTTTCTCTATTTACAAGGATAAGGAAAAGTTGGAAAACTAACAATTAAAATTGACATGTGTGATGTGTGATCACTTAAATGGATCTTCTGTTTTTGCTAATTAGGAGCAATTAACTGAAACCTGAAATTACACATCTATTATCATAAACTGTACATGCAAAGCTGGATACAAATTACTACAATTACATTACACATCTATTATCATAACTAGATCGTGCTCATTCAGTAGAAGCATTTTTAATATTTACATAACAAGCTTGATACCAGTTGAAGACACACAAACATCAACAGAGAGAGAGAGAACAACGTATTAATCACATTACATAGGATCAATAGAATTCGCGGTCAGGCAATAACAGTGGAGCCACAAGTGACCAAACATACAGTCCAGCAGTAACCCATTCCGTGCATATGCGAACCCAAAGTGATGTCCAGCCGACATCAATTAGCTCTGAACTCTCAGAACTGCTAGTCCACCCAGAAAGAAGCATCGCGGAATACATGCTAGCCAGAGCAAATATCAGATGGAAGAATGTGTAGGAGTAGCTCACTGGCCGTGCTTCTGGTGATCCTTTCCCAGATTCCAGCTCCTCGGAAGCAAGAAGAGATTTCTTCTCACCTACAACTGAAGACTGGTATTTGTAAATATGCAGATGAAGAAATTCTACAGCAAGTTATCAGCCGCATTATGGACGAGCCCTTTGATGACTGTTGCTCATGTATGGACAGATACAACAGCTCACGTGGTGTGGGGGACATACCAATACACTTTTGCTTTATATTAGAGTTTTGATATTTGATAGAAACAAGTGGGTGTTTCCTATGATTCTGAAGGAGTATTATCTCTACAAATTAGTTAACAATTTAACAATCTCAATTCACATAATCCCATACAAACTCTATGACAAATATTACATGCTAGAAGAAATTTACTGAGCTATGGAAGGAGAGCATCAAAAGGTTTTGGTACCTGATCTGGGAGAAGATGGTGGAGACATAAAAGTTGTTGCAGATCCAGCACGAAGAGCAGAATATAGGACTGAGAGAACAGTTGTAAGCATTCCAAGAACAAGGGTACTTGTTGTTACTGCCTTTGATTTGTTATGGAGCCCATTGCAGACATAATCTCGAGGCTCACTAGAGAGACCACTATAGCAAACATAAGCACAGTAAACAGATATCACAGAAGCTGGCAATAGGCTTCCATTTACCTGGACAATGTTAAAGGGGAAAATATGATTAGCATAAGTAAGAATACATTAATACAAAAGGCAGAATTTAGCTACCAAAATGATTTCTCTGGATGTATTGTAAAGGAGGTAACCCTAAGGGAGATGTTTCATGTATTCATCACATATAGATATATGTGCATGTAGTTAGCAAGAGATAATCGGCTTCATCATACATTATGTTTATGAAGAATTTCAAAAAACATCATGTAGAGGTTGTCCCACAGAGCAGAAGTGCCAGGATAAAAGAAAGCATAGCAGAGAGAGCATTTACCTTTGGGTGCAAAGCAATAACAGCAAATGCAAAAGCAAGAATCATGGTCATAACAATGAAGAACACGTTCAGTCCACAGTCATGTCCAGAAGGATTGAACCACATAAATAAAATTCCTGAAAAAACAAATGTTGCTATGTAGCACGCCACAGATACCACAAGTAGAGCAACATACCTGCAAAAGATATGCCAATTTAGTAGATAAAAGTTAAAACAAGGTCTGGGGATAAATAATTACAAAAGATAAGAAATTGAACCTACCACTTCTGCTCATCTTTTGCAACCCATGAATCATTCCACGAGTGTGTAGCATCTAATAATATTATTACTTGGATTAACAAAAAGAACCCTGCCCCAAATTTCGAAAGAAAACCTGTGAAGGCAGAAAAATAGACCAAACAGATAAAGTTAAATAAATACATACTTGACACACTACAAAAAAGTAGAACATGTTGAACTGAGAAGCTAGAGGAAAGTGTACTTATTGGAAGAAGTAACTGGAGAAAAAGTGAGCTGTCAAAACAAGCCGGTTATTTTTCCTAGTACATATTCTGTTCCATCACGTACTTACTACACATACTTATGTTTTCTTGAGAAGTCATCTGATAATTTGAAGAGGGATCCTTCTAAAGTTTGGTAGACTTGGGTGAGTTGAAATCCCGAGTCTTCTGAATTTCAGTTGATTTTATGTAGGTGTATATGAAAGAGAAAAAAATTAAAATGCTGAGCAGCAAATTAACTTCAGGAAGGCCCGCCGGGGTTTGGTAAAGTGGTAAGAGCAAAATGCTTTTTCCGTAATAGAAATTGCTAGTTGTTCACGTGATGTGTGGGCATGGCATGGATTCGAACCCTGCCGCAAATAAAAACCTGATATTTAAGTGAAGAAGGATAGAGGGGTGAGCCTAGTATCCATCGAGTTATGAACCATATGCCACTAGGGAATTTTTCTTATCAGAAAAAACTGCAGGTTAGGGGCGTAGAACTGACCATAAATTGTTATGACACCGTTCGGGAGGAAAAACATGAGTGCAACAAGCAACACCCAGATCACCAATTTAGCAACCCATCCACCATGATGCAAACAGTCGCGCCTATCATTTTGATCCTTGATACCAATCATTATAAGTGCAAGCACTCCAAAAAACAAGAAATTCCCCAAACTGACACGAAGAACAGCTTGTGCTTGAAACCATTCCTTCGATAAATTGTCCGAAGTGTTTATCCCTACAACCAACCAACCAACATATCAAATAATTAGTAAGATATGCAAGTATTATTTTCATCGCTGTAGATAACAGATTTGCATAACATTCTGAAACACTCTATAATTCTGTCCCATTTTCCTGACAGAGACTGCTATTTTTGGTACATTCATTGTTAGCCAAATTTACAGTCATGAGTCAACTCCTCTATTCTTTATTTAGACCTATAGTTTCTTAAAGATATCTCCCAACCAGCATTTTCAAACCTATAAAACATGATACAAAAGTATTTGATAATGCACTCTCATTAAACAAATACAAAAGAATCAAAAGTACTTTCTCGTTAACTAATTCCTTTTCCAATTTAGTTTATTCTTTTGGAGAATCAGTACTTAACCAAAACTCATATCTGTCACATCAATTGTACCATTACCTTTAAATAATTGTTGCAACTTAGATTTATCTTTTGCAACTTGAAGAAAAAAGTAGCAGTGTCTATATAACCATATTTTGAAATTCAGAAGGCATACTGTAAATGAAGAAAATTGAGGTTTTATTTTTTAAGTGCCAGGTAAGTCCAATATCAAAGGATGCACTGTGATATTCTTGTGACTGTACTGAACTGGATGGAGCATCTTAGCCTGGTGTAATTTACCGAAGAAGGAAACAGAAGTCCTGTACTTGGGCAAGATTCTTGCTTTGAAAGATCTCAAGTATATTAGTATATATTATTGAGTATCATATCAGGTAGAGTTTGGATGCATGTCAAAAAGCTAATTCCGGGAAAAAAATTGCAAGTAGAAATCAGCCAAAAGCAAAGAATTGAAATGACCAGTAACCGAAGCAAAGATGAAAACAACTTCACCACCAAATACGCAACCAAAAAAAGTTCTTAGTACATTCATAACCAGGTAAGGCATGATAACTAAATCAGTAAAGAGGAGTGATGATTTATGGTTTGAAAATAGTAAGTCTCCCAGAACTGAAAAGGTTTCTGGCCAGAAAGAAGCGTAGGAGATGAACAACAAAAGAGAGGAAAAGACTTTGTAACCCATTGTCATTCTATCTAAAGCTTCTTGATTTCTTCTACTCCTATCAATGCCAAGGAAACTTTGGCTATTATTCTGCCTACTGAATGGAAGTACAATCTAATGCAATTCAAAGACTATCCAAACATGTTCATCATCTCCTAAAGAAACTGCTGAACTGTATAACTACTTCCTAAACCAGAATAAAGTTTCATCATAGCATATTAACAATTTTCATCAATATGGTTCTGGCCTATATACAACTGAAGATGGACCATAAAAGTGAAAGGACACAGCCTAACCTAATAGCAATTGGTCTTAAGTACAATACTCCATTCATATTAACTTATATACCATTCTTTCCATTTTTGAAGTTCTGTTGAGTCCCACATCAGCTGATTAGGGATGACGAAGGTCTTCTTATATGGACTTGGGCAATCCTTACCTCACGATCTAGCTTTTGGAGTTGAATTAGGCCCAATATCCATTTCATTAAAATGCTCCAATACGTGCTCTGTGTTATTCTTTATACAATTTTCACTACACCTATTCAATATGAACTTTGATTTAATCTTATTCTCATACTAAACAAACATTTAGCAAAGTGATTGTGGACTTTCACTAATTCAATTTCAATAATCTATTCAATTTGAACTTCGATTCAATCATCTTCTCATACTAAACAAACATTTAGCAAAGTGATTGTGGACTACCAGCTACGTTCCAATAGTAACTAACATTTCTCTACCTGCGCAAACTTGATGCAATTCAAAATTCGAAACAATCCATAAAAAGCTAAATTAAAAACACAGAAAAGGCAATTAAACGCTATTTTGTGGAGAGGAACAGTTTAAAAAGAGGATATTTACATGAGAAATTCTTGAGGAGAGGAGAAGCGACTTCTCTGATAACCCAAGAGACGATCAAAGAAACACCAAATAGGCCACAATAAGCAAGTCTAGCTGAGCTCCTGGTTACACCGGAGGCTACCGATGTGCAGAGTCCGCATGTCAATGACGCACAGCACGATGCCAAGCACGACATCTCGCACTTCTCTCCTTCCGCGTGTGTTGCACTGCAGAGATCCACAAAGTACTCACTTCGTTTCGTTGAAAAATTAAAGAAAACGATGGATGTCGTATAATTTCAACTGGACTTCATTTTATTGGAAAATTTTAGAAATTGGCCCAAGTCAACTAATTATGTGTGGTTTGGCCCATTTTATAGTATGGTAAAAAGTTTTGAAATCTAATTAAGTTACATTCTTTTTTTTAATTAGTGATTAAGTTAATTAGAGTCTAAAATGTAATATTTAAAATTTTTAAACTTTTAAAAGTATTCAAAATAAACCTAATATTTCATTGTGTTTCTTGGGGGAATGAATTATAAGCGATAAAAAAGTTTTGAAATCTTAAAAGAGTAATCCTAGTTTTTATTATTAATTGTAGGTGATAAATTTTTAAAAATAGTCCTCAAATTTTTATTTTTACATTTTCACTTAAAATTAATTAAAATTCTAAATTTCTAAATAGGAAGATCCTCAAATTAGTTTTTTTATCCTCTTCCAATTAGGGTTGTGTATCGGCCAGTTCGGTTCGATTTTAAAGTCTATCGGGTTGGCTTATTGTTATCGGTTTGTAGAGATGCTAAACCGTTATAGAACCATTAAGATATTGGGCTATCGGTTATTTGTTTATCGATTTTTGATCGTTATCGGTTCGGTTATTGGTTTAACCGTTAAGATTTGACACAAAAGAAAAAATATTGAAAATCACTTAAAAACAAGGTGACAAACCAAATAAACCATGCACTTGAGTTCAGAAGTTACATCATGCTAAAAAACAAATACTTTTACATCATAGAATAATCAAGTGTTTGAGACAATCAAAAATAAAAGTAGGAAATTAAACTCTAAGTCGAGGACTTTATATACAAAAAGGTATAAATATAATTATTTAATTTACTATCGGGTTATCGGTTAACCCGTTAAGAAAAAATTTTAAACCGTTAAGAACCGATAACCCGATAACAAAAAAAATCAAATCCGTTATCAAAACCACTAAACCAATAACCCAATACTATAAACTAATAACTTTTTTATCAGTTTGGCTTATCGATTTCGGTTTGGTTTTGAACAGCCCTACTTTCAACTGCCGCTTTTTTCACATTTTCTTTTTGCTTCTAATCTTCATACTGCCTCTTCTTCATCCTCTTCTTTTTCTTCTTTTTGTATTTTTATTGGTGTTGCAACTTATTGTAGATTTCTTATTTGAAGAATTTGAGAAGGGAGAATCTCAAATTTTAATTTAACATGTGATTTGAAAAGGTCTAAAGCTTTAGAAATTACTTCTTAACTGGTAATTTTCAATCATTTTAACAAGTTAATAGTATTGTTTGTGTGTATTATTATTCATTTAAAAATTTGATTTTTGTGTTATTGTTCTTGCCACTAATGTATAATAAATTTCAGCAACTGATATGACTGTTTAAGTAATTTACAACAATTGTTGAATGATGTTGTTGAATAATTATCGTAATTGCTATATCTATTTCAGCACCTGCTGAATAACTTACAACAATTGTGATATTTTAATATAATTTTTGTTATGATCAATTTTTTAGTTTTAAGTTAAAATATTTTTAGATATCTTCAACATCATTAATGGAAGATAAAATAGTACTACCAGATGATTGTAATGATGAATGGGTTGAGTCCAACAATCGTTATATTTGGCGTTGAAAGAGTAAAAAGTTGTCCATGACAATTGCGATGATTTTGCATCGAGATATTGCATATGATGATTTTGCGAATAAAATCATTACTTGTTGTAAATTAATTTATGCGTTGAAAGATATTGTGATCACTATCCTGCATAGTTGTGGTGAAAAGCATTAGACTACTCTTTTTAAGATAAATGATCAACTTAGTTTAAGTACTTATTTGGAAGATGAACCTAGAGGTGTTTTAAGGATCTACATGGTTGAAAGAATGATGGAGAATCATAATTTATGCGCTGACCAACAAGTGTTGAACGGTGAATGTTGTAGGATAAATATGAATATTCCGAATGAAAAGCGTAGAGGTCAAGATACTCTTCCTTCTGAAGTTCGAAATCAAATGCCCATTATTGGTAAAGTTGCTAACAGGCAAGTACTATGAACTTATAAATTTACTTATTTTTAAAGTTTCATTCTTTTTGTACACTTAATTAATTTTTGTTATGGTTGATAATTAATTAACTCAATGCAGTCATGCTCAAGGAAATGGAACAACTTTTACAAAGATATGTCCTTTAAGAATAAAGAAGAATTAGATATTGCATTAAAAATTGCATGTGTAAAAAAATTTAGATTGAAGAAAGTAATTAATTGGTGTTCAGTATATTGTGTCAAACGTGAGCATCATGACTACAAGTGGTGGCTAAGGCGGTGAAAGTTGAAAATTCTGATAGATTTTATATTAAAAAGTATGAAAAGATGCATACATGTGGCTCTAAACATCTTATGAGTCATAATCCACACACCACAACAAAAGTCATTGGAGCATACTTCAAAGATAGATATCATGAATGTAAAGGTCCATCTACAAAAGATTTGAATAACTCTATCTGTATTGAATTGGAATGCAAGGTTAGTAATTGAAAAGTTTGGAGGGATAGCGAGATTGCAAAATCTTTGATAAGAGGGACACATGAACATGTTGATGTGTATATATGCTTAGGACATCAAATTCGGGAAGTAAAACGGCGTTGAAGATTGATGAAAATGACAGGTTCAAGTACTTTTTTATGGCATATGGAGCTTGGATTTTTAGTTTTGCACAAATGAGAAAAGTCATAATTGTTAATGGGACATTTTTGAGAAGTAAATACAGTAGTGTGTTGTTGTCTGTTGTTGCACAAGATGCGGAGAATAATGTTTTTCTGGTTGCGTAGTGGACTCTGAATGTGATGCTTCCTACCGATATTTATTCAAGCAATTGAAAAGTTTTGTACTTGATACTCTTGAATTGTGCATTATCTCTGATAGACATCAAAGTTTTGGAAAGATGGTTTCAATTGTGTTCCCTTCAGCTCATTATGGTTGTTGCATGAGGCACTTAGGAGAAAATATTCGAAATAATTTTCACAATGCTACTGTTGTTCCCCACTTTTATAAGGCGACAAAAACATATAATATTGATATGTTCAATGATCATTTTAATCAGATAAGAGATTTGGTTACACAGGCTGCCACACATCTTGAAAGCGTTGGATTTCATTGATGGAGCAAGGCATTCTTTCTCGGAAATAGGTAAACTACTGAATTGTCACTTATAATTCTTTCCCCAAGTGGCTCGGCATCTTTCATTATTAACAATAAAAATTTTGGGAAATTTACATAAATATTCTATATTTAAAAATATACTTATCACTTATAGGAATAAAAAAAATCACTTGATCACTTTTAATACATTTATAATACACTTTTAATATATATTACAAAAAATAATTATTATTCACATATTTTGATACACTTATAATACAATTTGTCAATTTCTTACCAAACACAATCATATTTTTTTAAACTCAGTTACATTACATATATATTCAGAAATAATTCACTTATGTATTGCAGATTTAACATAATATTGCAATAAATGATAATAAATAAAAATTATCATAAAATTCATAATTATTTATTAAAAGACACCCATCCAAATAATTTTTCCTAAAATTTTGACTTATTATATCTACAGAAGTAAGTTGCCCAATTTACATATAATTGATTTAAGAGTTTTCAAAAATTCAATCCTCATTTAACTTGATTTGCTTCTTTCTTTTATCTATCTCGTTTTATCTTACTCCTTATATTCAAGCTATGTGTATACTTTATAGAAAATTTTTTGGTCTTAATCTCCGGTTCATCCTAAAATCGAGTTAAAGTATATTACAATTTTCTAAATTTTTTTAATGCATATGTGAATTATCTTCTTCAAATTATTTACAAAGTTCTTTGATAAAGCTTTTATAACATGTTGCTAACTTCTTCACTTTTTTCTAGAGATTTGTTGAGAACTTTGATTCTTGAATATAGTACTCTATTTTTTCTTGTACATGAATTATCACTGATATAATATTTTTTTAATCATCAAATACCATATTAATAGATTTAGAGATCAAAACAACTTAACAAATACTTTTTTGGGGGGTCACACATCTCAACAATTACACCAAACTTTGAAATATAAAAAAGGGAAATAAAATAAAAATGAAGTATCTAAAATACAAACAATTGCAAATCCAACAATTATTGAAGTTGTGGGACCTGTTAATAAAACCTTGATACTTTTATTATCACTCTCTTTTTTTCAAAAACTATTGAAATCTCACCACAAAATACATGATTGGGTTTGTTCTACAAAACTGAAAATCAAAATAATGGTAAACATCTTAAACTGAAAATGAAATTATAATTTTTCCATTTAATTAAAAAGAAAAATCTTAAACTGAAAATTACAACTACAGCCGCCGTAAATCTTTAAAATAAAAAATCCAAAAATTGCAGCAAAACAAATATCAAGATATCGATATGGATTTTGGTGCACTAATAGTGCATCCCCTTAACCAGAAATCTCGCGTTTGAGCCTGGACATGGAGAAAATTCTGTTGGAAAAATATCTCCAAATGAGTTATGCCCGAATAAGCATGTACACAACAATCCAAATTTAGTCGAAGCTCCAAATCTGAACTCTGGGTGAAAAAAAAAATTGGGAGAAATAGATACTGTCCGACAGTATCAAAATTGAAGTTCTTATTTTAGATTTTTATTTTTTTTTGTAAAAGTTCGATCTTAAAAGTGAGTTTTGAAGCCAAAATCTCATAAAAGAAGAGCAATAAGGCTGATTACTTCATTCTCTTGTTTGCAGATATGGGTTCATTTTGCATAAACTTGACACTCATATTGGCTTTGCTATCCACTAGTTTTTCGTACAATTCATGGGCTGTAGATGTAGATACAAATTTGGGATCTGAAACTGAGTTACTAACTCGGGAGCTTATGGAATCGGCGAGGCAACCCGAGTTCTTGGATTGGTTGACAAGGACGAGAAGGAGAATCCATGAGTACCCGGAATTGTCTTTTCAGGAATACCAAACGAGTCAATTTATCCGAAATGAGTTGGATTCACTTGGGATCAAGTATTTGTGGCCAGTGGCTAAAACTGGTGTGGTGGGAACTATTGGGTCTGGTGCTCAACCTTGGTTTGGTTTGAGAGCTGACATGGATGCTCTCCCCATTCAGGTTTATTTCTTGCTTTTTGCCTCCATTAGCTAAAACTTAGGTTTATTGTTAGGTTGGGGGTGACAACTATTAGGAAAAGCTAACAACTTATAGTTGTATTGTGTTTCGATAAACATTTGCTGATAGTTTAGGTAAGGAAGTTACAACTCTGTTAGTTCAAGTTTGAAACTCAAAAGTTGAGATACTTTAGATGTGTTTTTGACCCGTCAGTCTTACAGTTATGTTAAAACTCAAAAACAATGAAATGATTATCATATTGTGCATTTCTGACAGTCAAGTCACTATCCAACAATAACATACTGGTATAATCTCACATGTGGGGCTCTGCAGAGTATACGACGTATGCAGACCAAACTTCTAACTTTGTGGGGGTAGAGAGGTTCAAGAAAAAAGAAAGTCAAATCACCATCAAATGATTGGTTATTTGTTAGATAACTGCATTGATGATGGAATTGGGGTAGTAATTGCTTTATTGAACAAGGGGTTAATTATTTGATAGTACCTTTGTTTGTGCAATAAAGATTATTTCAAAATTCTGAATGTTGAAATAACTTTTGATGGGATAGTTTAGGTGAAAAATCTCTCAGAACTCAGAATTAGTTAACTTTGCCTTTTAAGTAGCTTAGGATACTCAAAGTGACTGGGGATATTTTTTCTTTCAAGGAAAGACTTTAATAGTGACGAGTTTTCTCGACACTGTACAGACTTGGAGGGTAAATGATGTCCATCCAGCTGAGCTTTATAGAACAAGTAATGTTATTATTCAACCTCTGAACTCTATGTAGTGATTGAAGAGACACAAATCAGTCTCCTTGTGGTGTACGTGAGGGAGATTTTCAGTTTTCTGTAGTTAGAATTTGGAATGTCTTGCAATGTGCGAACTCTACTTAACATTTAAGGTTTAAACTGTTTGAAAACGTTATGTGCTACATGACTCGGAGAACAGATCGAGTCCACCCTTAAAAAGTTAAACCTGGTCTTCCTTAAAGAAGGTTACACTTATTCTCGTGGTGGAGACCAAACTACTGTATCATTTACTTCAGTGTCTGATACTGTATACCTTCTACTGCTTGAAATTACCATTAGTTTATCGTTTTGACTTCACTTACTATCTTATTGATATGTTTTGTTGTCCTCACCTCCCTCATTTTGAAGCCAATTCCCCAGTCTTGAGCTGCTATGATGTTGACATTGTGGACCTTGTCTTGTTAAAACTGCAATTGAGGAAATTTTAGGACATCTGTATGATGCTTGACTTAGCTTCTATTGGAAGATTCCACCACAAATACACTATATTATCAGTTACTCCCTCCGTTTAAAAAAAATGACCCTGTTTCCTTTATTGTCTGTTTAAAAAAGAAGGACCCCTTCACTTTTTTGGCAGCACTTTAACTTTAATCTTCCACGTGGCATGTTTAAGACCACAAGATTAAAGGGCATTTTGGTACATTTAACATAATTTTAATTTAGAACCACAAGATTAAAAAGTCTTATTTCTTTTCTTAAACTCCGTTCCAAGTCAAACTAGGTCATTCTTTTTGAAACAGAGGGAGTATTTCATACTTATGTACAAGGATAATGGGACATATCAGTGTAACATATTAGGATACAATTAAATCATAGATTTCTTTCACTAGCGGGTTACCAGAGATAGATTCAGATGGGAGGTTGATCGAAGAACTGCAAATTCGAGAGTTGAGAATATGTTTCTGAATTTAACTGTCATAGTTTGGTGAGCATTACTCGAAGTCACACTATGAGAATGGAAAAAGAATTGACCATAAAAGTCGCTCTTGTTTTCATATTTACTCAATCAGTGCTTCGTCAACTATCTGTGCTAAAAACAAGAGTTCCTGTACAATGAGCAGACTAGCTGATTCAAAGTGTGACTTTGAAGGAATTGGTAGATTGGGAGTGCAAAAGCAAGATCGATGGAAAAATGCATGCTTGTGGCCACGATGCTCATGTTACCATGTTACTTGGAGCAGCTAGACTGATACAGAACAGAAGGGACAAGTTAAAGGTAGGAGAAATATTATTATTTCTGATGAATTGAACATGATATCTTAAATTCTCAATAAACTGATTCGGGTAATACTTCACTCTGAACTGAAGGGCACTATTAAGCTTGTCTTCCAACCTGCAGAAGAAGGATATGCTGGTGCCTCATATATGTTAGAAGAAGGAGCTTTAGATGGGTTTCAAGCAATGTTTGGCTTGCATGTCTGGCCATTTATGCCCGTTGGCACTATTGCTTCAAAACCTGGTCCTATTATGGCTGGCTCTAGCAGGTTTACTGTAATAATGCAAGGGAAAGGCGGTCATGCAGCTACACCACATAACACAAGGGATCCAATATTGGCTGTTTCTATGACAGTTCTTGCACTACAGCAACTTGTATCTCGAGAAACTGATCCTTTAGAGCCTAGGGTAGTTGTCGTTTTTCCAAACAGTTAAAATATAGTTTTCCTTTTTGTTCAGAATCCTAAATTCAAGTAGAAATATCTAAAGATTTCTGTTGATTTGGAATACATGCAGGTGCTCACTGTTGCATTTGTAGATGGTGGTCAAGCCGGTAATGTAATCCCCGAAAGTGTAAGGTTTGGTGGCACCTTCCGGTTCATGACATTAGAAGGATATTCCTATCTTAAGCAGAGAATCAAAGAGGTACAGTTAAAATTGTCTAGGGACTATGTCCCTCCTCAAGTTCTGGAGCTTCTCTCTAACTGTAGCTTTAATAAGTTCATCTGAAATATCAGGCAACAGAAGGGTCAACATATAATATGTAAAACTAGTGGTTTACTTTTTCAGAATTTTCCATGTTGCTTACCATATACCAGTTCTCTAGTATCGTTTGCTATAATTAAACGTTATTGTCAACGAGTAACACCAACAATGCTGGCTACTGACAGATAATCGAGACTCAAGCTGGCGTACATCAGTGTTCTGCCACTGTCAATTTCATGGAGGAAATGAGGCCATATCCACCAACTATAAATGACCCCAAGATCTATGATCATAGTAAAAGAGTTGGAGAAATCTTGCTTGGCAATAATAACGTTCAGCATTCCCCAGCTTCGATGGCTGCAGAGGACTTCGGGTTCTATTCCCAGAGGATGGCAACTGCATTCTTTTTCATTGGAACACAAAATAAAACAACCTCATCTTCTGTTAAAGGTTTGCACTCCCCATACTTCACCATTGATGAAGAAGTTCTTCCTGTAGGAGCAGCTCTCCATGCTGCTGTTGCTATATCTTACTTGGATACACATTTGAAGTCGGAGTAACGCAATAGACATTCCCCATTGGTGATTGGTAATTGAACAATCATCTGCTCATAAACGTTGAGATTTGACTCTATTTATTAGCAGAAAAATCTGTAAGCTTGATATCCCTTTCTCCATCAAATGATGTTTTACTTTAGGAACTTTTTAAAATAAGAGGGGCTTCCTCACATGTTAACACCCTCCACATTCAATTTGTAAGCTCTCGGTTAGTATATTTATGTAAGTTTCTCATATGAATTAGGAGTGGCAAATGGGCCGATTGGCGGGTCAAAATAGTCTGAATCAATAGATGGATCTCAAGCCAAGCACTGTCAAATGCTTGTAAATTGAACTAGTAATTACTTGAGGAGTACGCTCATTGTTTTCTGTTGTGCTAATAAAGTGATGCCATATATCTCTTGCCTATTAAAATTGTCATATATATCACTAGTGATCTACTCTGAGAAAATTAAAAGAAATTTATTAGGAAAGCAATAACAAGAATTAGCAAGCCATGAACTCTTAACATACTCATCTCTGAGATTGGCCAACAGTCCCAACACTATCAAAATTCTCAGTGCATTTACATCCTTTATGATTATGAGTCCCAACAAAAGCAGTGTTTCTTGCAATGATGAACTGTTGAGCCCCAACGCAGTGCCACAAAAAGCCAAGCAGTAGCTACTTGAAAGCTTTGCAACGAATCTCACTGTATCTTGAATAAGTTCTTCAATGTTTTAACTAGCCTCCAATCTTCAATAGACAAGTCGTTCTGTAGAATTTCATAGACTCGTCAAGTAAATCTGAACATAAGCCCCAGGGAGAGGGAGTAAGGTTCTAAGGTGCCTGTGTGAAAGGGAGATTCACCATAAAGCTATTTTTTACATACCCGGAAATTGGCCTTGAGGATGTCAATGGATCTTCTCGAGACTTTGCTAACAAGCTCATCTTCGATTTCAAAATGCCTGCCAAACATCTTCTGTTGTTCCTCAGAGTTAGACCCAACTATCTGCAATTTAAGGCACAAGGTGAGTCGTCATATGCATAGAAGAAAATATCCAAGTCAATTTGCTTAGAACTCCTGATGCTGGCAACCAATAAAACTGATAATATCTTAAACATTACCACATTGTACATACAAGAGACATACAGACAATTGCAGATAGATATCAACCAGCTTCATACCTTAATGGCCACCCTCTGGCCTTTCTTGGCAGAGTCAACAGGCCTATGGTTGTTCTGGATGGACGCAATCCGACCAATATCAATGAATTCCCTCTGTGGAATACATATTGGAGTCCCGACCTATTCAAATTAAGCTCATTACCACATGGAATACAACATTAACAAGCATCTACAAATGAAGATTGATCAAAGAGCACTACTAACGCCAACAAAGAAATGAAATACGGAGGTGCGAGGGAGAACATTATTGCAATGCCACTAGAAAGGGTGGAGGGGGAGAGAGAGAGAATTAAGAAAATGACAACGTTAGAACTAGTATTCAAAAGCACTAACACAACATAGAAGAAAATCTGACAGTCCCCTTAAAATTAAAGATCTCTTAGCCAAAATAAAGTGGAAACCCATAGTTTTGACATACAAAATCAAGGTATAAAAGGACTATTAGGATGTGCCCAAAACATTTTGAAAGAGAACACCGTAACAATAAGAATATATAACAATCACATAATTACCACATTTAATAGAAAAAGTAATTTTCCCAAATGCAATTCAGAGAATGTGTTTTTTTGTTTGTTTGTGTGTTTGGTGAACAGATTCGATGAATCATGACATAAAGAAGCAATAGTTAATACCTTGGCAATGCCCTCAAGAACATCAACTCCTACGACAATTGGATCCTTCTTGTTGTACACATGGTTAGGTACAATCTTGAGAGAACAGGGGAAGACTGCTTCTTCAGCAACTTCCTTCTTTTTTTCTTCCTTGAGATTATCAATATAGGCCTTAAATTGATCGAATAGGTGATAAATAATATCAGCAATAAAAATTTTGACACCAGCCTCATCTGCAAGTTCTCGAGCTTCTTGTGTCACTTTCACGTCAAAGGCCAAGATTATTGCATACTCTTTCTTCTTCTCAAGCATGACAATTGCTTTCATGACATCTTTTTTGTGCACAGGGCCGATGCCAATTCCACTGACAGGTATTCTTACTTCGTCAGTCTTCAAGAACTCCAGCAAAGCTTCCAATGATCCAAGCGTAGAAGCTTGAACATGAACTCCCTCCCCACTTTTATCAATCCTGCTCATCACCGACCTCATATCTTCCATAGCTGCTTCTTTGACATTCTCCACGTCATCATCGGGCCCCACAACATATAAACTAGTGCCAGCAATTGCATGCTCAAGCCCCTGTACAAAATGAAAGAACCAAGGAGCAGAAGGGGGTTATTCCTTCACCACGCGACTTCTAGGGTAACGTACAACAATAACAAAGTATCATGGTGGAGCATGATGGCATCATGCATCAACACAAAAACTTATCAAAACACAACAAGAAGGTGAAAAAAAACAAAATCAACAAGAATTCCTATTTAGTGGGGCACTAGTTGGTCTTCAATGTCAAATTTCACTTGACTAACAAATCAGACACAAGAAAACTGAGCTTTGTCAAAATAAGGAGATTTCAAGTACAATCAGGTATTTATCAGACATATTTCAAAAAAACCCAACACAGAAAAATGAACATCCAGGACAATAATGAAAAATAAAGGCAATCTCTGCCCTAACCAGGATAACTTTTTCATGGAAAAAAGAAACCCAGCAGAAAGGGAAGAGGCTCCATCCATGATCCACCTACCGATTTACTGCAATTTACAACGCATCCTACGATTCCCTGTAAAGTTGCTTCAGAATTAAGCAATCCCCTTACCTCCCTGATTGGATCCAAAGTGCCCTCAAACTCAAGTAAGAAATCATATTGGAGAACCTCAGTGTCCCACGACGAGATATGGACAAAAGAACTCCAAGATAAGCTGCCTGGACTACAATAGACAATCAAAAAATGCTTTCTTCTTAAGGATGAACTGAATGGAAACGTCGCACAAATAATTCAATGTACTCGTCACAGTCATCGAAGATGAGTTGGATGTTAAGGAAAGTGGATCCTTCAAATTGAAGACAGAAGTAATGCTGAGCGAGTAAACAGTACATATTCTGTTCCAAATCACAGACATTGTTTTATGCAAACCAACCAAGAAAAAAGAAAACATTTCAAGGGTCTAAGCGTGACAAAAATACATGAACACACAGACGTTACCTGAGCATTAATCTTTATACTCTGTGCAGCCTTGATTTCTTTATGATGCAGATATGATCCCTGAATAAAAATATTACCAGAAAATAAAATCAATCATCACTTCATATGAAAATTAAACATCATGAGAATAATTTCATTCTTTAGTTTTTTAAAGTTCTGTTCACTAAAAAGTAGTGCTGAAAAGCAATTCTGAAAGTTTAAACCGAATAAGTGGATCTGACAATTGAGGACAAAGAAAGGTAACAAGGGCTGTTGGAGTTGGGAAAATAAATCTGACACCGTAGGTAAGCTTTTGTCTACCCTTTTCTATGAGAACTTTAAAGTGCAACTCCAAGTTCTGCAAATATGGCAGCAATTTTAACTTTTGAGGCACTTTAGCTCAAACAACCAAACCCATGAAAGTATCCAGGTTTATGAACACATTTATACAACTCAAAATCAACAGACCATAACCAGTACTTCGCAAGCCCTTCCACCAATTGGGGAGTAGAGAAAAAAGAAACAATGAGTACAGAAAAAACAAGACTCGTTGTACGTTTTTAGTGATTAAAAGTTAAAATAGCGACTATGAAGTCAACATGCCAGACAGCCATATCTCTTACTTGAGCTAAACCATCTGCAAGTCAACGTTCTACTTTTCATTTGCCATATCTTGCAATAGAGGATCACAATTAGTTTGGCACCAAGAAGATCTTAGATACCAAGTCAAGATATTACGAGCATGAACTCTATATCAGGTATACTAGACAAAGAGAAGTTGTGATGAAAATATCTACTGTTTTAAACATCTTCGAACCAGTTTTCACAATTAAAACACAAAACTTCTTTTTTTTCTTTAATGACAACAATTAAAGCTCAACACTTCCACCACCATTACTATGTGGACAGAACACATAGGTCAAGCAAAACAAACAAAAGAGATCACGTTGCATAGAAAAAGACCTAACTGTCTCCACTCTCCATCAAAAAAACCAAATCCCGATATTCTTTAAAAAAACCATTCCCCAGCAGCCACCATCCATTTTTTTTTCCGCTTTCTTTTAATAGTTGAAACGCGACAAACTGCTTAATCATCTATTGATTGCATTGTATAACGAGTTGAATTCCGGTAAAGTATCTCTACTCTCAAGGTAATCAAATGAGAATGCATCAAGAACACATACCTTTATTCGAAGTTCCTTCATTGGGTGAGGTGTCAATAACGCACGGATTGAGGTGACAATAGGGTCCTACACACAAAACAAGATGGAGAAAGAAAATGTTGAACATCAGACGTTCACATTACCCTAGGAATCTTACCACACCTATAAGAACAATAAAAGCTTGCCTGCATGCCACACACTATTATTTGGTCACCTTCATGGAGTATACCATTGATCAATACCACATCAATGGTTGTCCCGTGACCTTCAATAGCCTTAACCTCCAAAACAGTACACTGCCAGAGAATAACAACAATTAATCATAACATATTCCCCGTCTCCATGTAAGTAAAGTGGCGGTGGTATGTGAAATCATACTTGGGACTTCACTGCTGTAGGTAAGTCTATCAACCATCGTCTTTTGAGTCCATTGGACCAGTAATAGCAATAAATCAGGAATACCTTCACCGCTGTCAGAGTACACAGTAACGCTTAGCTAAAATCAACTGCAGTAGAGCATAACCCAACAAAAGAAAAATATCAGAAAGAATACACACACACCTGATTGCACTAGTTGGTATAATGCTAAAAGTATCCTTCCCCATTTCTTTGTTTTTATAGTATAATTCTGTATTTATACCCTGTTCCTTGAACTGGGTTACGATCTGCAACAAATGAATGAACGATTGATGATATGAGGACGCACAAAAAGAGGAAACTCTTAATTGAGACATCAGAGGTTATAAATGACCTGAGTAAGCCTGGTATTAAATTCAAACTGAACATCTTTGGACTGTTGCTTCATTGCCTTCACAATAGGTGCATTGCGGCACACTTTCCATCCATAAAGCCTATCTATCTGCATAAGTAAAACAAAATAAGAACTATATAAAAAAAATATTACCAAAGTTCAAAATAAAATATCGAACCCTAATAAACCTCACCTTGTTCAGAGCAACAACAAATTCTGTATTCCTCATCTTTAGAAGATTAAGCGACTCGATAGTCTGCGGTTCTAACCCATGCGTAATGTCCACAACCAAAATTGCAATATCACATAAACCTGAACCCCGAGAACGCAAATTAGTGAATGATTCATGGCCAGGTGTGTCTATGACCAACAATCCAGGCACCTTCAGCTTGGCATCAGCTTTTAGTTCCTTTGTTCTCTCCCTTATATTCTCAGCTGGAAAATAAGTTGCACCTATCTGCTGTGTAATCCCTCCAGCTTCACCTTCTTGGACATTAGTGCCTCGTATGCAGTCAAGAAGCTTGGTTTTACCAGTATCAACATGACCCATGATACAGCAAATAGGAGACCGGAGGCTGTCTTCACTCTTGCTTGAAGAAGCACCAGATTTTTCTGTTCCTTGCCCTGAAACCATAACCTCAGGCTCCCTCTTATTACTCCCATCATTCTTAGTGACAGCTGGTACACTTGCAACCGCTTTCTGAGTAGGAATTACAGACTTGGCAGCAAGAGGTCCTGTATCACTCACAACGGACCTTGCAGCTTTCTTAATGATAGGTTGGGGATCTGAATCTAGCTCTTCGTCTTCAAACACACTCTTTCCTGGAAGTTTGAGATCGGCATCATCCCAACTTCTCGCATCCCACTCCTCCTCATCTTCCTCTTCTTCAACTCTGTTTTCTTCAGCATCAGCTACTTCTGACTTCTCCTCTACACTTACCAAATTGATATCCTTGTCCTTCTCAGTTTCCAAGGACTCAACCTCAGAGACAATTTCCTGCTGATTTTCTTGCACTTCTGTACTTCCAACAGACTCTTCCTTGGCTTTGCCATTAACCCAAGCTTGCGCCTTTGATTTCTTTGATTGGTAAATAGGTCGTTTGGTTGCATCTTTTCTACTCTCCTCAGTTGAATGTGGCAAAGCCCCGCCACTAGCAAGAAATTGATTTCTCATTGCTTCTAATCTTCGAGCTTCTTCCTTTTGCTTTCCAGTAAGCAATTTTCCTTCAAGTTTCTTCTTCAAGAGCTTTTCCTTCTCCCTCTCTTTTTTCAAGTGTTTTTTCTCCTCTACAAGTCTTTTTAGTTCCTCCAGTCGAAGGTGTTCTTCTTCTTCCTTCCGTAATCTTTCCTCTTCTTCCTTCTTCTTGCTTTCTTCAGCTTCCTTCATTTTTTTAAGTCTCTCTTGTATCTCCCTAACCTGCTTCGACTGCTTTTTCTCTGCCAATTTTCCTTTGGTATCATTCTTTGTTGCTTCCTGTTTTTCCTCCATCTCAGAGACCGCTGCTGCCGCTGTAGCTGCCTTTTTCTTTTTCTCCTTCTCCTTCTTCTTTTTCTTCTTCTTTGCAGCAGCAGACTCCACAACTTCTTCCTCAACTACTTCTCTTTCCCCTGTATCATCTCCTAATTGAGACTGTTGTTGACTTTTCTCCTCTCGTGGAAGAGACGAATGAGCAGGTTGAGCAGGAGCAGTGATTGTTGACCCTTCACCAAGCTCTGCCAGAACGTTTGAAGCATGCCCACCCTTTTTTTTCTTAGTTTTGTTCTTTGAAGTTTCCAACACATCTGCTGTCTGCTTTTTGCCTATATTATCATCAGCATCTTCCCGATTAACCCCTAGGCTACAATGGTCTTGATCAGCGACATTGGTTGAATCATTTCCGTATGCAGTGTCCATAGATGCACTTCTGTTCTTTTTCTTGGATGACTTCTTTTTACCTGAAAAAATATTTCCTGGTGCATCATCTTCTTCAATTGTCTCTGCATTCGCATCATTTTCTTCGTCAAGAAGTGCAGTACTAAAAGAAATTCCACTACTCCTACCTGTAAAGGCAACTGTGGACTTCTCAGATACCTGCCCAGATTCGTTATCCTCATCATCAATGGCGTGAAATACAGCCCTGGATTTCTTACCTCTCTTCTCACTAATCTCTGGTACTAACTCAGCTTTGTCTTCCAGAACCACTGTCTCTTCAGACAATTCTGTCCCAACAGAGCAATCACCATCATCTATCACCCAATTCTTCCTCTTCGACTTTCCTCCACCACCACCACCCTGCTTGGAAGATTCAAAACTCTCTTTTTCACGCACAGGCTTCTTTCTCCCCATTGAATTCTACTTGTTTCAACTTATGTTATCCAAGAACAATTCAAACAAGATCAAATCTCCAAATCCCTGATTCCTAATTAACAAAAAGATATATCCAACAACAGTTCATCAGAAGACTAGCCAATATTGACACCAAACAAAGTAGTTAAGTAGCAAGTTACTAAATAAATCCCCAATTGTAACAGACCAATATATCAATTCAATCAATAAACCTCCACCCCAGTAATTGGACTTCAAAACATCACAAAAACTCATGATTATACATTAAATAAACATATATCATCATACACACACATATACCAATATTTTCCAGTAAAACCAAAGAAAAATTGGAAAAAAAATTAATTTTTTTTCTCTTAAATAACAACAAAAGCATATTGATTTACCTAAAATCGAGCGAATGATGAAAAAATACTGATACGAATACGTGTTTCAGCAATAGGTGTATGTGCATGTTGAGATTATACTAAAACTGAGAAGATTTTTCAGTGAATTTGATTCGTTTGGTTGAACTTCTGAAGAGAAGTAAGAGGAATACTGAACCAAAATTGGAAATTTTTATGTATATATAGAAAGTGAAGTTGAGAAAATTGTTAGGGTTCTGTTTTAGCGAAAATTTAAAAAATGTTAATATTTTGACATTTTAATAGGACTCATCATCAATATTTTTAATATTTAATAAAAATATTTAAAAAATGTTAAAAACATAAAGGAGAAATTAAAGGGAGAGAAAAATATTTAAAAAATAATTGATTAAAAGTATTATCAGTTACAAAAATTCAAAAATAAAGAACTAATTGATAATTTATCAAAATACTGAAATTATAATTTATCTTTGTAAATGTCTGAATTATGAAGTTATTTGGCTGTTATATTAAAGTTATAAAGTTTATGTTATGTATCTCATTTTAAGAAATTTTCCAGTATGCAGAATACAATACTCATATAAATATATATTCATGATATAGATATTCATCCATCTTAGGTATGTATTTTATTTTGCTTATTTCCAATATCACTTTGTATACCAAATAGTTTTTATTTAGATTTGATTCGAATTAATCCTAATGTATATCATAAAGTTTGTATTTAGATTTGATTTTGTATTCGTCTGAATGTATACCATGAATTTTTATATTTATATTTTGATTTCGTATTCATTCTCAACTATAAATAGCCAAAATACAGTTTATTTATGTATTCATCCTAATTGCATCAGTCAAATAGTTCTGTATTTTATTTTGCTCATTATATGTTTATATCAACTAGTTTATCTTTGATTTCGTATTCATTCACAATTTTAAATAATCAAAATATAGGTCTGTACTTAGATTATCATTTTGTAAAAATAAATTTGACTACAAACTACACAACATTCAAAATACTTTCAAATACTTTTGTGAAACAACTCAATGCCTAAATGCTAATGTGGATTCTACTAAATTTAATATATAAAAACAAATCATAAAAAAAGATCGACAAAAATTATTTTAAATACTAAAAATCTGAAATACATAAATATTTGATAAGTATATTAATAAACTCACATAAAAATTTTAAAAAATAACGGAAAATCCTCAATACATACAATCCGAAAATTTAACATAATGTGTGATTTTGAAAACAAATTCTCACAAAATAAATTATGAATTTAAAAAAATACCTTTATCAATTGAGAGATTTCTTGATTTATTGATAGATCTGAATAAATTATTACGAACTTGAATAATTAGTTCTTTTTCGACAATGAGAGAGAATAATAGTAAAATTTTGATGAAAGAAAAAAAATGAATAATGGGGATGATGATAATTGAAAAATTGATGAAAGATGAAAAATAAATTTAATGGTACTAAAGCATAGAAAGAATTGTAAATGAATAATGGATGTAGAATTTGATTCTAAGTTGAACTGTTTTGAAAAATAATATTTGAATAAAAATGACTTTCTAAAATATTGACATTTTAATATTTTCAATAATTATTTTAAAACATAGATATTTTTACTAATTAAGTTAGAAATTGTGGCTAGTTTACTAATTTTTCGTTTGTTTGGGAATATGCGACTATTTTCAGAAGTAGCCTACTTTTGCACACTATTGTTGTTGGAAAATAGCCGAATTTTCAGTACTAGTACAAAAAATAGCCGTTTCGAAACTCGGATTCCCAAGGGCTAACACTTTTATTGGTTACTTATTGTTTAAAAAAAACATTTTTATTTGTTCATTTTTGTCCAAAAAATAATTCGTTATTTTCTCTAACATTGAATACTTATTTTATAAATTATTTTTTAAGACCTAATTATATGTTCACTTTTGAATTAACATCTATTAACAAATTGACATAATGATTTTACTATTTTACCCCTATTTATGAAAATGGTGAATTAAAAATTTAAGTTTTTGAAAAACATACTTTTTTCAAAGTAATTGATTGAGGGTATAACAGCTAAATTTCTTTTGTCATTTTTTCATTTATCAAAATGGACAAGTAATTGAGGATAACTATAAAAGAAAAAATGACAAATAATTAGGGACGAAGAGAGTACCTACATAAATAATTATTTTCTAGTGGGTCAAAGTCTAACAATGAAAAGTTAATATAAATCATGGGAAAAAGGTCTGATATACCCCTCAACTTTGTCATTTAGAGCTGATATACCCCTCGTTATAAAAGTGGCTTATATATACCCCTACTTGTAAACAAATGGCTCACATATACCCTTTTCCTCTAACGGAAATGAAAAAAAAAATTTAATCTAAATTTTTATTTTTTTTTCTAAAAAATATAATCTCATATGAATAAATTTAATCCTCGTCAAACATATTTTTTTGACCTTTTTTTGTTTCAATGACTAATTTATAATTATTATTTTGATAATCAAATTTATTTATGTTTCTCTAATATTCTTGTAAAACTTATTGTAGATGACCAAATTTTTTCTTCGAATACGAAATTAAATTACAATACACACAAAAGAAATAGTTTAATTTTTTATTCTTTAAACTAAGGAATGAAAGAAAAAAAATAAAATAAGAATAAGAAATTCAAATAATTATAATAAAAGAAGTCAAAAAATAATTTATGTATGAAAAAAATTAAAATATATCTTGAACTTTGATAGAAGAATCATATATACCCCTAAATGATTTTTTTAAAAAAAAATTAGAAGCAATAAATATAAATTTAAAACTAATTTTTTAACTTCCGTTAAATGAAGGCTATATGTGAGTCATTTTGTAACGGCTGAGGTATATGTGAGCCGTTTGTATAACAGTAAGGGCATATATGAGTCACTTTTATAACGATGGGTATATCAGCTCCAAATGACAAAGTTGAGGGGTATATCAGACCCTTTTCCCATAAATCATTAAAGATGTTGGGACAAAAAAAAAACATCTTTGAATTTCAATTTTTCTAGCATAAGAGTCATCAAACTCTTTGTAATTTTGAAATTCACGAATATTTCCTACTCCCTCCGTCTCATATTATTTGATCATTTTTCTAAAAATAGTCATCTCATATTAGTTGTTCACTATAGTTACTTCTTGTTGAAAGAGTCTTATTTTTTTGTAAAATTTCTAAGAAGATTTTAAAGGGTGAATAAGTAAAATTATTATTTTATTTATGATTTCATAAGCCTAACAAAAAGAAAAATGGAGAGCAATTTTTCCAGTTGAAAATTCCTGAAATTCAAAAATGTTTACTGAATTTTTCCCTGAAACAAAAAAAAAAAAAAAGAAGAAGAAAAGAAGTTCATATATCAAAAGCATGCAAAAATCAAGCAATATTTCAAAATCCTTGAATAAAACAGGCTATACAGAAGTCATTATTGTACTTCATTAGTAAACATATTATCAAAAACATTATTCAGACTCATTGAGCAATAACAGATTCACTGTTCTGATTCCCTCAACTCAATCGCCAATTGGTGTTTGAAGTAATACTTGAAACATAAAACATTATATCCAACTTTGATCAGTATTTTATTCTACCAAAATGTTATTATGGGAAACGATTCAACAGTATGCCGGAGACATCAAAAAGGCTGGCAAATCGGCGTTCACCCAGCTCATTCTCGATTTCCTGGATTTCTAGTGAAATTTGAGAAAGCCTTTCTGAAATTGCAAGAGCTGCCATCATAATAATTTTTCTTTTATTTTAGAGCTTTTGATGATTTATAGTACAATAGTAATGTTTTGGGGTCTTTCTCTATATCCACTAAAATTCTCTAAAATATTTTTGTTCTCTCCAGAAAGCATCATGGCGGCGTTATAACTCATATCAAGATAAGAAAACTGAACTTAACTCAACCTCAAAAGTTAGCTTGGAATATTGTCTAAGTTTATATAAACAAACCAGAAAATCACCGAGGTAGGACTCTAGTTTACTCTAACGCCCCTTCACGCCCAGGTCCAACTAAGTGTTTACCAAGAGTCCAAGTAGGTACGAATTTGACGATACTATGTTACTGACCAAGGTATTCTAGGAGAATTACAACGATTGAAATATAAGAGAGGTTAACAAATAAAATAGATATCTAAATCCCTAGAAATCAACTATGAATATTATATACAAGGAAACTTATAACTTTATGATTCTCTAACAACAAGAGGCCAAAGTTTTACAGAGAAGAATATGTTGTATATGCACTAACAAAACTATACATAGACTTCGTTATTTTCACTCTCAACATCACTGAGACTCTGAGATTACCTAACTAACAACTCTTTATCTCTTCTTCTCAAGAAGAGGCTCTCCGAGACTCCCTTGCGTCCTCCTTGATATGGAAGTGTCCTCGCCCGACTTCTTCAGGTTTTGTCCTTCCTTGCTTTGCACTCCCTGTGGAGTCCAATTAGAAACATCACTGATTTGGTCTCTAGCAGCTTTTAGTGAACAAGACGAAACAGAAAACTCAATTCACTAATGCAGCAAAAACATAGAACTCTCCTCTCCCATCAATATTTTAGAACAATCACAATGTAATGATCTAATCATACTATGCACTTGAAATCACAAAGTATACCGTTAACTATCAGATGATGCCACACAACGGATATATTTTCTTGCAACTACGTGTATAGAAATTATTGTGTTGACATTTTCAAAAATATTTCTATAATATATCAATGAATATAGTATAAAGTATGTGCACTTACGGTTCCCTTTTGGGCTGTTAACCTCCGGATTGATGGAGCTCGTGCCACTGATGAAGCTGCTGCTGCCGCAGCCACACGTATCCTGTTAGATTTTGGAAAAAGTTACAACCTGCTCTTCAACAATAGTTACTATATTGAGTAGGTGAAATTAAGTTGTCCAGCTCTCACCCACCTCTTATGTACATCAACATACTCATCAGTCTCGTCTACTATTTCCTCCTGCACCAATGATGGGAATTTACATCTGTTACAGTCAGATGTGTAAAAGAGGTACGTACAAAAACTAGAAGAACCCCAAAGATCACCTGTAAAAGTTCTTCAAAAACATCCTCCAAAGTAATAATACCTATTACTTCAGCATCCTCGATATCATCTGACCACTCAGGAACTCCATTTGTCACTGCATCAGCAGATGTTGGAGGTGTTACTACCGGTACTGTAGTC